CATCATAAGAAAGAGTCTGGGCAAAAATGGCCTGCATGACAGAGCTCCAAGATTAAAACAACTGCTGAGCAAAAGGAACAATAAAGGATCGTTTCAGTTTTGCTAGAAAATATCTTACCAATCCCGAAGACTTTGAGAATATACTCTGTGGACTGATGAGACAAACATACCAAAACATCATGAAGGAGAATGTTGGGCCATCTGTTTATGACCTGAAGCTGAAGCACACTTGGGTTCAGGAGCAGGACAAGGATGCAAAACACACCAGCAAGCACACCTAGTCCAAGTCCTGACCTGAATCCCAAAGAGATGCTGTGATATGACATTACAAAGGTGGTTTTAATTCTCAAAAACCCTCCATTGTGTCTGAATTACAACAATTCTGCAACAATGAATGGGCCCATATAGGTTTGGATATTATTTCCTCTCAAACATAAACACCTTCATTTAGAAACTGCTGTTTGTATTTACTTGTTATTTTTGTCTAATATTTAACGTTGTTTGATGGTCTAAAACATTTAGGTGTGACAAACATACAAAAAAAAATAAATAGGAAATCACTTTTTCCCAACACTGTATCTATATTTTTCCATTGTATGAGTCCATTGTATGATTTAGACCTAAATTTAATGGTTGATTGTCCTTTTCTTTACTTGTTTAGGTTACAAACGATATCAGAGAGCTTAATTTCATTGTGGTGATCAAAGTTCCAGTGAAGCTTGGTGAAAAAGACATTTGGGTGGATTTGAGCAGTCTACAGGTATTACATTTGTCAGAAGTCTTAGTTTTTGACTCCACAAATGGCTTAAATGTTGATATGGATGGATGCATGTAGTGAAATTAGAACTAATAAAACTATCAAACTGTTTTTTATTTAATAAATCAAACACAGATTTCAGATTGTCAGAGAGGAAATGATGAAGAACCAAGTGTCAGAGATTTTGTTCCAAAAATACAAAAGAATAAAGTGGTGGTAAGTATGCCTCGGTACTTAACTGTTCATATTTACCCTAATTGTAGATTTAAAAAGAAATCACATTACACTGGATCACAGCTTATGTTGCATTTTCTCACCCTCAGGACTGCTCTGTAGCCATGTGCAGAGTGTTCAAGTGCAACTCGTTCTTGAAAAGACTGCAGAGTAGGACATACGAAATCTCTGCCAACATTAGTTCACGATGGATAGAGCAGGTAGTTGAAGAGAAGTTTGTGTTGTCTCATTAAGATTTGTTCCTGAGTATGTACTAATAACTTGTTTTAAGATAAGTATGTTTCCTATTAAATCAAAAAACACCCAATTTTGGCTCATTGTGTTCCATTTTTTCTTAGATTGGACTGCAATCTACCAAATTCCTCTTGACCAGTACAGCCACTGTGGAGTA